GCCTAAACTTGAGACTTCTTACTAAAAGATTTCCTATTACTAAAAACAAATGAAGATAGAAAAAAAAAAAAAAAAAGTTAAGGGGAGCAAGTGCAATGCCATGCAACCAATAATAAATGGCATCACGAAGTCAGCCAGCGAAGGGGTTGATTCACATCAAATGTGAGGTTGCCTTTCAGTTTAAAGGCTTGTCAATTGCTGTCAAAAACGTTTAGGGGCTGAAGAAGGGTTTTTGCCTTAATCATATTTGTCTCCACATTATGATGTGAAATAATTAAAGCAAAAATTTTAAAATAATTTATAGAAATGGAGGCGAAACAAGGAGGGAGGCTTAAAATTTTTGGATCTTATGTTCAGCGGTGTCAAATATAACATAAAAAATTAAATTTAAAGTTTTATCACAACATCATTTTTTAAAATATATATTAAAAATTATATACATTCATATATTAAATTTCAATACTTTAAATTGAAATTTAACCCTAAACTTAAACCATTATTCATGCCCTAAACACCAAAATCCATATTATTTCACCCTAAAATATAATACACCTTAACCAACAATATTATATATTATACTGAAATGTATATACTATAAACTATAATATAAATCTTAAATCCTAGAACTTTTATACAACCATAATCTAACTTTTTAAACCCTAAATTGCAATACAAAGTCAAATATTTACATATAACCTTACTATTTACGTAATATCCCAAACTTTTCTAAAATTTTAGAATTTAAATTAAGGACTTATGTGGTAAATTTTATTATTTCTGGGCCTAATGATTAAAATTCACAAACTTAAGGGGTTAAAAGTGAAATCTGATGATAAAAAGGGGTTAAGGTTGATTTTCTTTTCTCCATGCCCATTTGTGCGTGTTTCTTCCAGCTCCTCACCCGAAGCTCTAAAGCCACAAGCCCTAAGCTGCCCCAACACCTCACCACAAGAAATAGATCTTGTTGCTACTTCTCCGATTTTCCAGTCCATGTTGTGTTCTTGTGCAATGCAAAGGGAGATCACCATCTTTCCAGTACTTTTTGGTAAGAAATCAGCCACATTGCTTATCTTTTCATCTTTGATTTGAATTGAGTTAACTCTAAACCATTAGGGTTTTCAATTTTGGGATTTTTCTGTAGTTCCTCCTTGATTTTGCCCTTAATCTAGCACCATTAGAATCTGATTCCTATTCTTGCTGGAAATTCTGACAACATGATCTTGTAGTAGTATTTTACCCATAACTCCTTCTATAGATATCGGATTGAGTCCATTCTTGATTTTATGGAAAGTTAAGAAATAGCTCTATAGTTTTTTGGTTGAATGTTTAACCTAGTTAAGTTGTTTTCAAGGTGAAAACTCTATTGCAAGTTCAGTTCCTGTAGACAAACGAAACTGGCAGCCTAACCTTAAGTTAGTATTTTAGCCATAACTTTCTTTATTGATGTAGAATTAAGGTGATTCTTGATCCTATAGAACATTAAGACATAAGGTTACAATTTATCCGTTGACTATTCAGCCCAAATGGTCAATTTCTAGGTGTGAATTCTGTTTGAATCTAACTAGAATTTTCCTAGAAATTTGTTCTGTTTTCTACTCAATTCCCTCATTATTTGCTGCCACATCACATTATGGTTTTAGTAGACTTTTAGCTGCTATTTTTCTGCTCTAAAACCCCTTATTATTGTTTTATTTTGGCTACCTTTTTGCTATTGCATTTCTGTTTAAATGCTGCCCATTTCTGCCCAGTTTTGGCTTATATCCTACCCTGTTTTGTTACTGTCTATTTGCCCTGAAATCCTTGTTGTTTAAGGCTTTTTCTAAGCATTTTGGGACTACTTTAAATGGTCGAAACCCCCACTTTGCTGCCCAATATTTTTACTGGTGTCTAGAATGGTTTTGAGCACGGTTTCTTACATTTTTCTATCTTATTTTGTCCAAAAAATATGTTTGGAATACCTACTGTTTAGTGTGACATTTGGAGCTATTTTAAGCCTATTCTAAGTATTCGTTTGATGTGGTATAGGTTCCAAATCACCTCAACAGCCTTGAGTTCTTGAATTCTTGCTTGTTGTATACCTACAAGGCGAGGTAAGTAAAATTATGGTAAATGCCCTTGGATTTTAAGGTAAAGATTTTAAAAGCATATTTTAAAACTATTTTTGAAGTGATGGTAGGACTAAACCTGTTTTACTCAAACATGAGCGTGATTGGCTAAGGTGAAGTTGTTATTATTTTTATTGAGTTGAGCATGCCTACATGGAGCTTACTTGGTTGTTTTGGAAATCTAAAAATTTGTTTGTAAGTTATGACTTTCCTATCAACTCCTACATATTTGTAAATTATGGATTTTCCTATTGAACTCTTGCATGGTTTTGTCTCCAATATGGTCATGATTCCTGAAGCTTGCTAGTGGGAGTTTTAAACGCTGACACATGTCGACATGTATTCCTCGAAACCAGTTAATTCTTGTTATTCCTGCCAATGGGATAGTACATTGGTTATTCCTAATGCCTACCGATGGGAGTTTGTTAAACACTGGCCATAACTAATTGAGGAGACCACTATTGAGTTGACTTGTTTACTCAAACATGAGCGTGATTGGCTAAGGTGAAGTTGTTATTATTTTAATGAGTTGAGCATGCCTGCATGGAGCTTTCTTGATTGTTTTGGAAATCTAAAAATTTGTTTGGAAGCTATGACTTTCTTCTCAACTCCTACATATTTGTAAATTATGGATTTTCCTATTGAACTCTTGTATGGTTTTGTCTCCAATATGGTCATGATTCCTGAAGCTTGCCAGTGGAAGTTGTAAATGCTGGCATATGTTGACATGTATTCCTCGAAATGAGTTAATTCCTATTATTCCTGCCAATGGGATAGTACATTGGTTATTCCTAACGCTTGCCAATGGGAGTTTGTTAAACATTAGCCATAACTAATTGAGGAGACCACTATTGAGTTGACCATTTTTGAGTTTTACTCTACATAAATGTTTTATACATAAAAATTTTGCTGCAGTTTATGTTTTAAATCACTACCAAAAAAATCATTTTTCGGACCGAAAAATTAGTCTGAAAATAATACAAATTGGTCTGAATATAACTATTCAAATCGTTACTGATCTGAATAATAGGTCTGAAAAAACATGGTCTTAATAAGATTACCTTTAGACTGC